TTCAAACACAACCCAACATTTGGGCTAATCCAGGAAAGAGAAAGTGAAGGTAATAAATAAATCCCTCAGGGAGAACAGGCTGTGTTCACAGCATCCACAACTAGCACATGCTAAAGGGCCCTGGCAAGATCATCACTCAATGACAGTGTGAACAGGAAGGACAAAGGCCCCTACTAAAACTCCTATCACAGAATCATACTGGCTCGAAAGGACCTTGAAAATCATCAAGTCCAACCATAATCTAAATTCTTGTTTTCCATACCTTTCACCAGCTTGGTAGCTCTCCTCTGGACACCCTCTAGCAACTCAACATCCTTCTTATAGTGAGGATCACATGCCATTAGCAGCACAAAAGTGCAAGTTTCCTCGGGGATACCTTCAGACAAGCAGCACCCCTTCAAAGGGAAGTAGAGCAAACCAACCTGGTTTTGGTTCCACTTCAGATCTGGAACTAGCACAAAGCCATTGGAAGGATCTCGGTTTTCATGGATGATTCGATCGGCCTCAGCTTTCTTCTCCAGGATGTTATACACCCACTGAAAGAGAAATATATGACTTATGTGAAATATATTAACCAGCAGAGGAAAGAAAACACCTCAGGCACATTTAGCCCAAGATCATGGATTAGTGCATATTCCCTGCAACTACTTGACTTTAGGATGATCAAATAATTTCATGGCTGGTAACAGTTGTAGTTAATTATCCATTAACCACTGCAGTGACAAACTCCAAGCTGTTAGGAGCACTTCAGTGAAAAGATGCCCCCCTTTTTACCTCGCAGGCTGCACCATAACCTTTACAACTCAGTCTGGGAAGGGAGCTTAGGGGATTTTTTTTCCCCCATTCAAAAAAGAGGGAACAGATTCCTTGCAAGCCTGAGGCTGGACACAGCTCTGGCTGCTGATACCCAGCACTCAATGGGTTAATCTGAAAGGACTGTGATTTCTTGGGCAATTTCTTGGTTTTCTGGCTGACTAGAAACCAATTTCCTTCCTTTTCTCTTTTCTACCTAAAGCTTCAGGCTCCAGACTGCCTGTGATCCCTGCTCTGGCTATCCCCCCATGCTCCTCTTTCCAAGCAAAGCAACATCCAGAGCAGAGTTTTGGCTACAAATTGGAAGAGATCAGGGATAAGTGACAGAGTAAGACCAGCAGAAACCATCTTTGCTTTCCTGGCTCCCAACCTGACCTCAACCATCTTTCTTTTCGCCTCCAAAATGCACTTCATGCTCTGGCTTTAGTCCAGCTCAAGTACCAGCCTGCCGAGGCACTCCCAAGCAGAGCCCTTAGAAGATAAGACAAGGCAGTAGAAAATAGCATTTGGAAGCTGAAAACATTTCAAAACCTCATTTTCCCCATCAAGTTTAGGTCTGAAACCTTTTGGTTGCCCCAGGTGAGTAGGGAAGGTGCAGCCAGTCCTGCAGACACACTGACCAAGCTGGGACCAGACACTCAAGATAAAAAGAGCTCCTTCTGGGGAGCTCTGTCAAGGGTTTAATTAATCTTATCAAAACTTAGGATCATTGTGAGCTGACCTGAATATATCCTTAGTGAGAAACCAACCTCTCCTCTCTTGATCTGGGGATTTTCTCTTAAATTTCTGGTCTGTTCTTCCTAGCAACGATGTCCTAGAGGAGATTAGATTCTCAAAGCTATTTTGGAAAGCATAGCACAGGATCACTGTGCTCTGTGACCCTGGCACAAAAGCAGGGCAGGAAGCTCAGCAGGAAATGAAAGTTTGCCCTTTAGGGGTTTGTTTTTTTGGGTTGTTTTTTTTTCTTCTCTGTGCTTGCTCTTTCCACAAGAGCCCAACTGAGGAAATTCCTCAACTCAAGAAGCTGAATTTTCAACCCTAGGCTACCTCATGTGACAGGCAGGTCATCAGCTGATGGCCCTTGCTGTTTCCAGCACAAGCCCAGTGAGGATAACACATGTCCAGAGACTGGCACCACAATCAAACTGTTATACTGAAAGCATCTGTGCTTTGCATCCTCCAGCAGCAAACAGAGAGGCCTCTGTAGTCCCAGTATATCTGTTCCCCTTCACATTGTCCTTTCCACTCATCAAAACCAGTTAGATCAGGACAAGGAGCAGAATTATCAAATCACAGAGGTCAGGGACTGACTGTGTTGACCATGATTTCTCAGCAGATGCTACTGATGGTCTCCAGGAATATGTTTCCACGTACAGAAACTCAGCAAGAATGTGGTGGAAGAGGCAGAGGGCAAAAGCTCAAGCCATTTCTGAAGGCAGCTGCTACAGGAAACTAAACAGCCTTCAGAGCAGGTTGCGGCCTGGTGGAAACATGCTCTTGTTTTTCTCCAGCTGCACGGGGTTGGCTCCCACAGGCTTGTGTTCCTTTCTAAAGAGGAAAGACAGGGAGAGGAATGGTCAAAAAGGATGTAAAATGGGAAAAAAGGCCATTGCTGCTGCCTGGGGCAAGGAGGACACAGCTTCACCATGTGGAATATGGACTGAAGGGCTAAATGGCAGAAGAGCTGCAGGCAAAGCCTGAGGAGTGAGTTGTGATGCAGGAATCCAAGAGTGATCTGTGCCTTCCCCATTCCACAACTCCCAGAAGACTCCTAAAAAGCCCGACTGCACCAACGCCCAGGGAGCCACCCTTGGAAAGGAGGAGGAACATCCCAGCACAGAAAGTCTCCAGAAGCCTTGAGAAAGGCCACTCCAGCTATACCTCCAAGGCAAATTATTTTCCACCAAGATGGAGAAGAATGATCCAGAACAATGGGGACACCAAGGAGAAAGAGTTTAGCATGGCTGAGCTTACCCCACAGGCCAGACAGCCTCAAGAAACCCTGAAAACTCAACTCTTCTGCCTCCAACCTGAGCTTTGGAGGAGGTACCCAATAGCCCAGCATGTTGAAGGAGACCAAAGAGGTCCATCAAGCAGTGGAACCCAAACCTGGATGCTGAAGCTCTGGGACTGGATGAAGGGCAGTGTTATGTCCTTGTAATCCTCCCAGGTTTCACGGATGAGGTGCACTTCTTGGCGGAGGTACTTCTGGAGATGTTTCTCTGTGGCAGGATACACCACTGTGGTTTTTATCTCTAGAAACAAAACATGTTTGCTAAGTTACCATCCCAGACAAAAGCCAAAATTCTTCACATCCCAATAAATCTGTTTTCCCTTCCAATAAATGCCACATTAGCTCATTTTTAAGACTCTGAAACAGCAGGGTGGTACAGAAGAGACATGAAAAACAAACACATGCTGTAACAGCTCAGGCTGCTTTTCTCCAGGAAGAAGCCAACAACGTGCTCAGGGCCTGTCTTTACAGTTCAGGTGGAGGAGTTTGCCCCCACTCTGTCTCTTTCAGGCCTATCAGCAACACAGAGCTGGGGCTCCCAGGGAAGAGTTTCTTTGCAGTCATCAACTGGGTGAAGCAACTCTGAGGGCAAAAAATCTTTCCCAAGTGAGCACCCAGTGACTTGCTCCAGACACAAGGGCAGATGAAAACTTTGCTGCCTGATTTCTGCAGCTCTAAACAGGACATGAACATGGCCCTTGACAGCAGTAAAACACTCAGACAAGATTCCTCTTTGTCCAGGATGAGGGATTCAAAACCTGCCACGACTCCAAGGGCACAGGCAGCACCTCTGCCTTCCCAGCTAACACGGAGCTGCTGTTTCAGGAAGGAGAAAAAAGCTCCATGAGGGCTGGACCCTGAGATCAGCCACAGTCACAAAAATCACAGGCTGCACTCACCAGGGACTGAACAGTCATGCTTTGTGCTCTATATACATATATATGCTAGCCAGACACATGATGTAAATCTCTATTTGTTCCTGAAGCCAGAATATAGGGTGGGGTTTTGGGTGGGTTTTTTTAGTTTTCTGCTTTATCTTTTTTTTTAAGGCTGGTGCTGCACAAGCCAGTGACTGCTTTTTCATTTTGTGTCAAACCCATGAATGAAATCCACAGGAAAATGCTGGTAAGATGAAATATGAACATACAAACCACAAGGGCAGCCTGGTTCCATTCCCAACATACACATGTTCAAACAAGGTTGTTTTCCAGGACTCGACAAACACTTCTAGTGGGATGATGTAAGGGAAAAGAGAAGAGAGAAAAGAGGAGCGGCAAAGAAGGGGAGAGGAAAGGAAGGGGAAGAAGAAGGGGAAGAAGAAAGGGAAGAAGGGGAAGAAGAAAGGGAAAAAGGGGAAGAAGAAAGGGAAGACAAGGCTGTAGCTCCTCTGCTTTGAAAGACCAGCAAAGCACAGGGGAGAAAACAAAAAGACAAGAGATAAGTAAACAATGTTCAGCCTCAGGCTGGAAACTTCCACAATGTAATTTTCTCCTCCAAAACAGGAGCAGAAAAAAATCCTCCGTGCTGGGGGCAGTGATATCTGTGGTGTGTGACCTGGTTGGGCTGCACCCTTCATGTGGCTTCTCCAGCACCTCCCCAGTTTCTGTGGGGAGCACTGCTCATGGTGGGGAGAACCATTTCAGATCCTGTAAAACCCACCGTGAGCTCAGAGAAATCCTGCCCATGCAGCTCTTTGTTTAGCAGATGTTTAGAAGAGGAGAGGAGGGCAGAAAGGCTGTGGCTCCCTAATGATTCTTTCCCTTCTAGAGGTCTCATCAACCCTGAAACGCCCCAGCAATGCTAATTAGCATCCACCATTCCAGCCAGAGAAGCTGTGAGAAGAGCTCAGAGCCTGACTGTTTTCAGGAGCCCATTCATGGGATGCAAAGTCCCATCTAGACTTGGGCTCAGCCCCAGGAAACATCCATGGGGAGACCAGGCTCACCATGGAGTCTCTTCCATCACCGGCCATGCTCGTACTCTATTTTAAAAGCTACCCTGCTTCTGGCAGGCTCCACAGGCATGAAAGCATCACGTATGCTGTGGGACAGCCAAAACCTCCCTGGAAAGGGGAGTAAGGAACCACTGAACAAGTGACATGGGATTTTCAGCTGGCTGAAGGGTGACAGATTGTCTCCACAGGGTGTCTGAGTCACATCGGCCAGCATGTTCCTGAATGCCAGTCCAGGGAGGCCATAAAATGCCTGTGGTTTATTCTGGAAGTCAGGACTGGCTGTCAGTTAACTGGAGGTTATGAAAAAGGAGGCTTAATTGAAGGAACCTGATGAGCAGGAGGCAGAGAACAACCGATCGGACGCTCCCCCAGGGCATCTGAGGGGATCCACCACAGCCTTGTTTTTCTGCCCTGAAAAGCAAAGTTGGATTGACCAGAAGAAAACTTCTCCCCCCTCCTGCTAAACACAAGAGCAAAAAACCAACCCAAGAAACAAAAACCAAAACCCCAGCTCAGTTTGGGGAACTGATGGAAAAAAGGGCTGAAGGCAGCTGTCACCAGGAGAATAGGACACATCACCCCCTGCTCCCTACATGTTGCAGGAGGTGGAGAGCTCACCACTCCCACCCCACTCTGCAACATCCGAACTTCGGTTTTGTTTAAAATAGATTTAAACCTGCCAGGGAGCCAAGAGAAGCAGGCAGGGCTGGAACAACCTGTTTCCACCTTTGGGCAGGAGTGCTTTTTCCTCCCTTTGCTAGAAGGAACAGACCTTTGGTCTGACCTATGGTATGAAGACAGGCTGAGGGAGCTGGGGCTGTTCAGCCTGGAGAAGAGAAGGCTCCAGGGAGACCTTAGAGCACCTTCCAGCACCTGAAGGGGCTCCAGGAAAGCTGGGGAGGGGCTTTTCACCAGTGAGGGCAGTGACAGGACAAGGGATAATAGTTTTAACCTGAAAGAGGGGAGATTGAGGTTGGGCATCAGGAAGAAATTCTTCACCATGAGGGTAGGAAGGCACTGGAACAGGTTGCCCAGAGAGGTTGTGGCTGCCCCCTCCCTGAAGGTGTTGAAGGGCAGGTTGGATGAGGCTTGTGCAGCCTGGGGTGGTGGGAGGTGTCCCTGCTCATGGCAGGGAGGTTGGAACCTGATGATCTTTAAGGTCCCTCCCAACCTCAACCATTCCATGATTCTATGATCAACTCAACCATGGGATGCAGGAAGGTACCAAAACCAGGAAACAGGCAGAGCAAGTTGCCTTTGCAGTCTTGCAAGTTTTCTTTACCTCTCTGAGCTCCTTCCTGCTGTGTACAGATCTCTGCTGGCTTCCCATCATCAGGTAGCTCCTTTGATGCAGCCCTAACTAAACACAATGATGCACAACCTTATCCTTCCCCTGCTGTATTAGTTTATTTTGTTTCATGACCATCATTGTGCAGTGGAACACTGAATTTAATCCTCCCCTGACCAAGCAGGACCACAGCTTTGCCTGGGACATCCTGGGCTCTCATTACTGAGTGACCTAAAGCACAAAAGGATGAAGCCTGAAGGAGCTGACACCACCTCCAAGGCCAGAACATGTCAGGGCAGCCACACAACAGTGCCAGGGGCTGCTGACCCCTTCTTCCCCACAGACCTGGAACTGCCACAGCAAAGAGGGAACTTGCAGGTCACTAACCCAAAAACCCGGAGCAAAGCCCAGTGCCACCTCCCACCATCCCCAGACCAGCCCTCCTCTTCGACCCCATGTGCTCCTGCCACCTCAGCCTCTAGCCTTTTATTTGGGTGGGAATGTGAAGTTTTCTTCACTGGGCAAGACCTACAGGCAGGAGGAGCATGGAAACGCTGGGAGACAAACCAGACTTCCCAGAGCAGCTCCTGCAAGTTTCTCCAGCTCCTGACTGCCCAATATCAGACTCCTTTTGGGCTGGGGAAGGCAGGGACATATAGAACTGCCTGCATGACTGAATACTTCCACACTCTCCCATTTATCCTGCAATTTCTCCACCTTATGTTGGAGAGATGGAGCAAGAGCATAGAATCATAGACTCATAGAATCATCAAGGTTGGAAAAGACCTTCAAGATCAAAGTCCAACCATCTGCCCTATAACCCCCAACCTGTAGCACTGCCAGGGGTGGTCATGGCCCAAGTGCAGGACCCAACAATTGGCCATTTCTGCTTTTCAAGTTTCTTTTCCAGAAGAGAAAGTGGAGTAGTTACTACATGAGGGCCTAAGGTTCTCCTTATTGGTACACAAAATTTAATTTAATAACTAGTTTCATCAGTTGCTAGATTCTCTTCCCTGCTACAAAAGCATCCCTTGCTCTCCCTGAAAAGGAGAGTCCTGGAGCTGGGGTTTTCCCCACCAGCACCTCACACTTTTAGGCATGAGCTGCCTCTTAAATCCATGCAACCTCCAACAACTGGTGACACCACCTGCCTGCCTCTGCTGCGGGCCAGGCAGGATGGCAGGGCACCCTCTCTGACACTACCAGTCTCACTCACAGATTTCCTTCTCCTCACTCAGGTGGTTTTGTTTTGCCTTTCCCATAAACCCTGACAGTTATCAAGCTCTGAAACACCCTGGGGGAATTCCTCTGTGAGCTGGGACTTTCTGGAGGAAGTCCTTAATGCCAAAGTTTTAACTTTTCTCCAAAACACTTTCACGGTGTCACAATAACTGGGCACAAACCTGCAAGTACCAGGAGATAAAACCCTGCATCCTTCTAACCCTGCCAGCAAGAGGCTGAGACAGGCCCTGTGCAAGAGCTTGCTGGGTCTCCACATCATCATTTGATGTTCAGGAATTCTTCAGAAGCCTGGACATTCTCTGCAGCCTCACAGGAAATTCCTCCTCCGTTTCTGGTTTATGAGGTGCATTCCTCCTGGTGACTCCTGCATTCGTCCTGGTGACTCCCTCCTTAGGCCATGACTCAGCTCCAAATGGCAATTTCCTCCCCCTCCTGATGTGCACAAACCACTTCCTCTGCTGCCAGCCCAGCTGCCTGGCAGCAGCTCACATAAGATGCCCACAAAAACACCTACTTGGCTCAGAATTGCTTGGAAGGAAGACTGCTTTTGCAAAACCTGCCTTTTAACAGCTATTTTTTAAGTAATCAAAAAGACAAACTTCAGAAGGAAGCCCAGGGCTTCTTCCCCATTCAGCCCTGCCAGAGGAAAGGCACCAACACTCACCTGGAAGCACAGCATCTTTGGTCCAGCCACACATAAGCAGTGTGTCTCTATGGGGCAGAGCGACCGATCAGGGGACACACTGAACAGAAACAACCCAAAACCAGAAGGTGGGAAGACCCAAATTCACCTGTTTTTTCCTCCAGCCTCTCAGAAAGAGCACAACCTGGCACAGCAGAGACTGAGCCTGGTGACCCTTTAACAGCCTTTTCACCCCATTGAGGGTTTTTGCACCTGGCACGAATCTTAAATTAAATTAAAAAATGTTGCTAGGGGCGAACTCTGGAGTTATTCAGAGCTGCAGCAAAGAGACGCAAGGAAGTGAAAGCCAGCACGGCCGGCAGAGGCCTAAGGGATTTTAGTCTTGCAATGCCACCTTGTGGGAATGGCTGCAAATCGCTGCTGGTGCCCAAGCAGGAGTATTTCCAGCCCAGGAAGTGATCTCTCAGATCTTCCCAGGCGGGGCAGCTGCCACCGAACTGTGGTTGTCACACCGACACCTCCCATTTCCAGCCCTCGAACGGACAAGAGGAGCTTTGCACAACTCACCAGGTTCTTCCTCCTACACCACGGAGCTAAAAGAGGAGCATTTTCAGGGAAGCACATCAGACACCCCAAAAGTTGACTTCAGGACCGCAAGAGCTTCTCACTTCATGCTACTGCTCTGATTAACTTTGACTCTGTTAAACCTGTTTGGCTGTTGTGGTGTTTGTGCAAGTGTCAACACGTAACTAATTGCTGCACTTGTAGAATTTAAACATGCACCAGCCTTAAACTGATGTGCCCAGCCTGCCAAAAATCCATCCTGCAGAACAACAGGCACCCACCCACTGCTCTCCCTGCTTCAGGGAGCTCTGCAGCTCTCAGCCAAACCCCAGGTTGGTGGAGTCATGTCCAGTAGCAGCATTTGTCTGTTGTGTCTCTGCCTGTGGCTCCAGCCGCCCCCCCGGGACCCCTGCTCACCACTCAGCTCCAGGGGAGGGTACAGGTGGTATGTGCTGTAAATGTCATTGCTCATCTGCAGCTCCAGCTTCGTGTGCTTCTTCAGCAGGTCCAATACCTTCTCCTCCTGGAAAGGAGTCTTTTCCAGGATGACTACAGCATCTGTGCCCTCTCCAGAGGCGCTGGTTGCCTGGAATGAGAACAGATAAAGCTGTCAGCAATCTCCAGCACTGGCCGGAGAAAACCTGAATGCCTTCACCCAGCAACCACAGCAGACACCTTGCAGCCCCTCCTAGTCCAGCCACTCATCCAAAAATAAAGGCACG